GTAGGTTTAGGGCCTTCAGGGCCTTTAGGGCCTTTAGGGTTTAGGATGAAGATCCTAGCGTTGTGGCATGAAAGCCCGGGTTTAGGGTTTAAGGTTTAGGTCGTAATAAAAACCCGAATGAGTTAGTGGTAGCCATACTTTTGGGGGGCTGAAAGCCTCTTGTAGGCTTTGACACCTCAGGCCCCGAACTGTCGTTCTGCTTAGCATTAAATAGCGCCCACACTTACACTTCAAAAGCTGATATCCTTAGGAGTTCGGATTGGGGGGACCCTTGGGGATATAGACTCTCAATAAGGTCGCCCTAAACCGATGCTACCCAGGAATCCTCGCAAGGACCGCTGTCTCAGAAACCCTTGGCACTAGCCAAAGCTCCTTACACTCCCAAGTGTATAATTCCCTCTATAAAACCGCAAAAGCAACATGAAGCCACAACACATTCTCAATTGCCGAAGCATCATCTAGAAAACCAAATATAACCCCTCCCCCCCGGGCACCCTCCCACCCTAAACTCTAAACTTGACGGTCGATACCGCAAACACCCCCCCTTTCCCGAAACAACAAAAAATAAAATCAACCAAACACCCTAAACCCTGAACCCTAAACCCCTTTTCAAAAAAACCTTAAAATGGTAAGAATAAACCAGACAACCAACCCCGCAGCTCCGACCTGCGTCCGCTCGGAGACGCGCCACCGCTCGTCGAAGGAACGCACCTTGGGTAGGGGCACCCCAAAATCAAGGGTTCTACAATTATAACCATAGGATCAAAATCAAGGGCTCTATGATTATAACCACAAGATCAACATAAACATCAAGGGCTCTATGATTATAACCATAGGATCAAAAGCAAGGGCTCTACAATTCTAAGCATGGGATAGAAACAAGAGATCGATTGGAGTTCCAGAATTCTGGGAGCTCTGAGAAGAGATTTTAAGAGATCCAACGGGATTCCAAGAGAGTTCCGTCGATTTAGGGGTTCGGAGATTAGGGGTTGCCTACACCCTATAAACCCTAACCCCTAAACCCTAAACCCTAAACCCCAAACCCCTTAAACCCTAAACCCCTAAACCCCTAAACCCCTAAAAGCCCAAACCCCTCAAACCCCAAAACCCCTAAACCCTGAACCCTAACCCCTGAACCCCTAAACCCTGAACCCTAACACCTGAACCCCTAAACCCTAGACCCTAAACCCCTGAACCCCCAAACCCTAGACCCTAAACCCCCAAACCCTAAACCCCTACTAACCCAAAACTTTAAGGGTTGAGAAGATCCGGGTTCCAGGTGTTCCGCAGATTCGGAGGCTCGGAGTCTAGGGTTTAGGGCTTAGAGTCTTCCGCTACCCTACTGCCACTGCTTAGAACCTTATATCAAGACCTCACAACACCCTGAACCCTAAACTCTTTAACTGCATCTCTCTGGGCCCCCAAAGCCCTAAACCCCTAAACCCTAAACTCCTAAACCCTAAACCCCTTAACTCCATCTCTCTGTGCCCGGGTGCTCCGCTCAGCGCCCCATCCAGGCGCTCGCTGAATCGATGTTCCTGGGCGACGTGGCGCACGTGGGCGGCAGCCTTCGTCGAAGGCTTCTTTTAAGAGCTCCTTTTGAAGCTACTTTTAGGGGTTCTTTTCAAAGAGGGATTTTATAAAAAATAAAAACTGTTTGAGAGCTCCTGCTAAGCTACTTTTAGGGGTACTCGATGTGGGGTGCTTCGTGCTTTGCTGCACCAGGTGTCATCGAATTTTGTCAGGCTTGATATGGCTCATAACCCTAAACCCCCAAACCCTAAACCCTAAACCCTAAACCCCTAAACCCTAAACCCCTAAAACCCTAAACCCTGAACCCTAAACGGACTAAGCGGCGCTGCCCAAGGGTGTTCTATCGGGTGTCGGTGTGGTGTGCAGATCTTCGTCGGGCTTTTTTTGACTCAGGAGATTGGCGCTCCCACGGGTGGTAGTATAGGGGCCTTAATACATTAGAATGGGGTTTTGGTGTATATTCTACTATAATCATAATAAGGACACACCCCCCCCCCACAAAAAAAAAACATAAATAATAATAATAATAATGATAATAATAATAATAATAGTAATAATAATAATAGTAACAAAAATAATAAATATATATATATATATATGTAGGTACTTATTCAGACCTCTCTGTTGGGATCCCTGTTACGAGGGTTCCGAAGCAAGGGATCCATAGCCTCTGGACCCGGAGACCCTTTGCGTGCTCAGGGTGCTTGAAGAATTCAAGGCCTGGTTTAGGGCTTAGAGGGTTCAGGGTGATTGAAGAATTCAAGGCCTGATCGGTGCCTTGGCATGCGGGTATGGGGCAAGGGAGGGTTGCAAAGGGTTGTTGAACTCAAGGAGGCTTATTGAGAGGGCTCCTTCTAACATGGCTCCTATTATCTAGGGGTTAAAGTATGCCGCTTGCTTTAACTTGGGGGATTGTGCGCTTCGGATCCTGCTACCCGAAAATCTATGCTCGGGTTGATAATTGTTTGAAACTCATAAATGAGAGTTTACGCCCTAAACCCTGAACTCTCAACCGTGGCACTCCCTGCGGGTAGGAGCCCGAAGCCCGCAAGAACAAAAAAACACCCTAAGTTTTTTTAAAAGAGGCTCGGGGTCTATTTGCAGAGTCGTCTGGGTCCAAGGCATCACGACTGACTGACGACGATGTGACGATGACGACGACAACTACTACTTTCTACGACGACTACTACCGATCCACGTTCCTCGGCACACAAAGCCCACCTCAAGGCCAAAAGAGCCCATCGATCGGGCCGCCTCCCCGGCAGAGTCCTGGAAATAAGAGGAGGTTTAGTGGGTTCAGGCGTTCTACTCTAAGTGTTCTATAGGGGCTTCACGCCTTAATCATAGGGACCCTGAAGGGGGGGTAGGGGGGACGGGGGACTATACTTGAATAGGCCTTCTTAGGTCCTTAAGGTTTATACGGTTTCCAAGGCTTACAGGGTTTATAGCGTTAGGGTTTATAGGGCTTAGGGCTTGTAAGGTTTTGGGTTTAGGGCTTATAGGGTTTCAGGTGTAGGGTTAGGATTGGCGCTTTGGGGCTTTGGGTTACCCATAGGTATCTAAGTAGTTCCTGTTGGGGATTACCTTATAGGATTCTAAATATAAACCATAAAAAGGAACTAATTAGGGGACTATGGGTATAGATCTCGGGTGCAAGCTTTAAGCCGAGGTCTTCATCAAACAGTCTGGGTCGGGGGTTTGCTGAGTGCGCGCTCCTGACACCCTAAACCCCTAGGCCCTAAACCCTAAACTTCTGAACCCCTACACCCTAAACCCCTGAACCCCTACACCCTAAACCCCTGAGCCCCTAAACCCTAAACCCCTGAACCCCTAAACCCTAAACCCCTGAACCCCTAAACCCGAAACCCCTGAACCCCTAAAGCCCTAAACCCCTGAACCCCTGAAGCCCTAAACCCCTGAACCCCTGAACCCTAAACCCCTCAACCCCGAAACCCCAAACCCCTCAACCCCTGAAACCCTAAACCTGAACCCCTAAACCCTTAACCCCTGAACCCCTAAACCCCAAACCCCTGAACCCCTGAAACCCTAAACTCCTGAACCCCTGAACCCCTAAACCCTGAACCCCTGAACCCCCAAACCCCAAACCCCTGAACCCCTGAAACCCTAAAGCCCTGAACCCCTAAAACCAAACCCCTGAACCCCTAAACCCTAAATTTCTGAACCCCTACACCCTAAAGCCCTAAACCCTATAAACCCTAAACTCCTGAACCCCTAAACCCCTAAACCGCTGAACCCCTAAACCCCTAAACCCTTAAACCCTAAACCCTAAACACCTTAACCCCTGAACCCTCAAACCCTAAAGCCCTGAACCCCTAAACCCTAAAGCCCTAAAACCCTGAACCCTAAACCCCTGAACCCCTAATTAAACCCCTGAACCCCTGAACCCGGTATTAGGGGATTAGGGTTTAGGGATGAGGGTTTACGCTCTGACGGTCCGGCTGAACCAAGGAATGGGGGGACCCTTGGGAATATAGATCCTCTCAATAAGGAGGTCATTTTCAAGAGAACCAGAAGTAGGGTTCAGAGGGGTCCCCTTTAAGGGGTCTCCCTAATACTACCTAGGATTCAGAATACAAAGATACAATAACAACAAGAGGGACATAGTCTTAGAAGGAAACGAGGGTTCGAATTGAAACTGTTCAAGGGCCTTCCCGAAGAACCCTGAACCCTCAACCCCTGACCACTAAACCCTGAACCCTAAACCCCTGAACCGTAAACTCCCCCAACAAACTCGAGAGACTGCCTCCCGGGTGGTGGCGTAAGCCGCGCCGGCAGCCAAGCCGATCGCGCAAACCGGCGCCTCAGGGTGCCCACGCAATGCTACAATTAGGTGGTTCATGCGGCTGTTAAGATCGACCTTTGGGCTCTTAAAACTTTACGATTGTCTGGGTTCAGGGCTTCATGGATTTAGGACACTCGCAATTGCGAGTAGGCGGACCCAAAAACAGAAGAGATCTTCTGCTGGATCTGGTATAGAAAGCTTGCAGATCACCTGTACATTTTCCAATGCTCTGCAGAATCTCCTCAATGAAACTCATGCACGACACGTTGGCGCTGATGCGAATGGAACTTGCGGTTCGCTCTGTAGATTAGGGTACTTGTAACCTTATAACTTATAACTTACTAAGTTCCATGATCCTCAAAGTGAGACGGTGAAAATGAAGGGCAGCTCTCTCTTGGGCTTGTGGTAGAAGCCAGAAAGTTGGATCATTAGTTTGCTCATGCCCTTAAAGGTGCAGCATACGGAATCCTAGCACTAGTCATCCTTAAACCATGTTCCAACCTTCTGGTGTTCACTGTAGACTACACACAGAGCTCAAATCAAAGCGTCAGGAAATGACGGGCAGGCCGCAGCATCACCAAGAGCTATTGTGTGACTTCGTCTTGTTCTGGCCGTTGTACCCCCAAGACTTCCACTCCTTGCTGCTCCCTGCATGCTGCTGTTCCTGGCGCCAACCATCATTGTCTTTTTCATCCCATGCCCACTTTTCTTCTTGGCCTTTCCAAGAAGAGCTGGACTCTTCGCTGCTCCCTGCATGCTGGTGCTGGTCTTGGTGCCAACCACCGTCACTCTGATCCCGTGCCCACTTGTCTTCTTAAAAAGAGCTGGGCCGACTCCACTTGTCGCCTCCGCGATCGCGACCATTCCCGTCGGGGGCGTTGTTCCACGATCCGTGCTGGTGATCCCAGTCCTGCCACTCGCTTCCCACTGGCACGCAGAAGGTGCCGGTGCGGGTCTTGTCGAAGACCCAACCCTTGTCACCGGCAAGCTTGAGGAAGAGGGTGCCCTCTCTGCCCCGCCACTCTTGAATCACATTGAAGACCTCGCCACAGCTCAGGAAGCCCACCACGCACTTGCGCTGAACGGTGCGCTCGCTCCTGATGTCCATGCCGGGGCGCCACACGCACCTCCAGCGCGTGGGCTTGGGGCCATGGCCATCAGGAGCCTCCTGGACCTGCGGCAAGGCTTCAACCTCTTTCTTTTCCTTGGCCTTGGGCACAAGCCGGGAGAGTCCACCATGTTTGGAGATGGCAGTGTGCACGTCTCCGCCTCGCTCTCCTCTGCATCTTGCCCCAGTAGCTGCCGCAGTCCCTGAAGCTCTGCCTCCAGGGCTTCCACCCGCTGTGTCCGGGCAGCCAGCTTTCCCTGCAGCTCCGTCATCTGGCCTCCCTGCTGCTCATATTCCTGACCATGGCGGGAACATGAGCAGCAGGGCCATGGCGACCACTTGATCGTGCAGCTCGTCGAACATCGCGGCCACTCTCTGCGCCATCATTGTGACACGGAGAGGTACTGACTTGTGCCGCGGCACACCTCTAGAAGGCAGACGCACATGCCTGAAGAAACCTTTTGGCTGACAGGGTCCTGTCAGCCAAAAAGCTTCTTCAGGCATGTGCCGTCTGCCTTCTAGAGGTGTGCCGCATGGCACAAGTCAGTACC